AAATTGTTCTCTGGCCTCCAGAGTAAAGAAGAGCAAAGTGTTCTTCTGCTGTCTGAGACAATCTTTAAATGCCTGTAAACAGCTAACCTGTCTTCCTTTAGTCTTCCATTTCTGTAATGAATCAGAACCATCAATATGAGAGTTTCTGGGTCTTTCTTCTTGGTTACCCCACCTAAAATGTCTCTTATATCTCAATGTCCCTATTTCATTGTAGCACTCAAAGAATTATAGATTACCCAATGCATCAGATGTGGTTTGGCAGGACAATTTATTAGACCTTATAAAGGCTTGTTTTGTTTTGTTTTTTTCTTTATTTTTCTTAGGACAAGTGACAGGTAATTGAATCATTATGAACATGTTAACATGTGCTGACATATTAGTAAATTTTGAGTGATGTTAAATGAAGATTTTCACCCTATCTGGAAATTAAATGTATTCTACATTTATTCACCCTACACAGAAGAGTCATACGTAATGATTTTAAAACAAGTAATAAACTTGGACCACGTTTTGTTTAGCTTTTTTGCTAATTCAGATATAATTTCTAACTTCTTATATAATAAACAAGTAACACTTATTAATCTGTATCGTTTTTCTAATTCAATATCTGCCTTTTTGTCTTACTTTATTTTTACTAGTATCTTAAAGTAAGAGATTTTTCCAAGGATAGAATACTTGTATAAAAACTATCAAACTGCAATTCTCACAATGTAAGAATTTTAATTAATACTATATTGATACAAACTTTTATTCTTGGGATCTATGGTAATTGCTACTGAGATTATCAATAAATACACAAAGGATTCTTCTGAATGGATTTGTCTTTTATTCAAGTAAACGCAATAACTTTTACTGACTTTTTAAAAAAACTAAATACCTTTATTAATGTCTTTCAGAGTCAGAGGTGGAATTTAATGTTTTAATATTAAACAACACTGTTTAATGTTTTAATATTTTTTAAGATGTTAAGAAACTATGGTAGTGCTTAAAATAATTCATTTTTACCACTGACCAAAAATAAATCTTGGTGATTGTCATATTGCTACTAATCTTATACTTTCAGATGAATGCACTTATATTCTTACTGGCAAGGTGAAATCTTACATGAAATATAGGTGGCTCGGTATGTACTGGAGTGGTTTATGTTGAATTACCACTTGGTTCTATTCTGTGGGTCCTCTGGTTCAGTTGCACCAATGCTATCCAAGCATAGAAGCATTCTGATTTAAAGTATCTCTCTTGGTTGTAACACCCTTTATTTAAAATATGTAAAGATATGCTTGTGTCACTGAGGCATAGAGTATTAGGAATGAAGATGAATAATATATTTCTATTATAATGAATTCAGATTCTATCTGGAAATATTTAAAATTTCATGCAGAGTACTTCTGGACCATTATCTTCTTGTCATTACTAGGAATTTAATTTTTGTAAAGATAAATCTCATTATACAAAAATGTGTCAACAAAACATAATTTAGAGAGGAAGTCATGATTTTGCTAAAATAATTTACATTTTAAAATAATTTAATGTAATTCTAAAACTACAGAGAAACATAGTTGTAGAATGGGATATAGTGAAGAATATATTTCAGTTGGTAAGAACACAAGATCATTTTAGAATGTATATAAATAGATACTCTGCCATGGTTTTCAAAGCCTAAGGCAGATGTGAAGTGAAGGAAATTGCAGCAGACAGAATTGGAAGAAATCTGGAAAACTTTTTTTTTTTTTTAATCCCAGCTCTGCCATATTAGCAGGGTGGTGTTAGATAAAGGCTCAGCCCCTCTAGGCTGCAGGCTCCTCTTCTCTGAAAAGTGGAAATTGAACTTCAGTGATTGCTCATGTGCTTTCCAGTTCTAAAATGCATTGATTTAAGGAATGAGCCATAATGAGCCTACAAGCATTTACATCTCTTGATACACTGGCTTGGCTCTTCCTTTCAAATGTTTGTTCTAAAGCTCATTTGAAACCTTAAAAGAGATTTCCTCTGCATTTTGAAATGTTGTTGATCTTTTTGCTGAGAAGCAAATCAACCTTTAAAGTACCAAAACTGTCTCTTTAAACTGTCATTAAATTATAGTAAGTTAGAACCCTTTGAAATGATCTGGCCCAGAGAACTTGCTGGTTTTTATTTTATGATACTTTACTCTTTTTGAAGACAAAACCGGCAAGAACAACTCTGTTAACCTGGTTAAAATAAGTTTTTTTTCCCCCCTAAAAAAATAATTTTGATAGAATTGTTTTTTAAAGGATCAACTCTTAAAATGTTTGCTTACACATGATTGTGTAACAATCCAGAAGAAAACTTAATATTGTTAGTTGCATTTGCCCCTCTCACATTTTCTGTATTCAGAATAATAAATAAATTTAATCATTTTATCTCCATAGTTACACAACCTTTGAATATGAGCTCCAAAAATGACAATATTGATCAGTTTTTATTTAAAACTGATAAAAAACATTTATATATTTATAATGAGGAAATAACTTTTGTGCAGGAAAAGAGAAGACACATAAGGCGGTTAAAAAAAAGAACACAATTACGAAAGTCTTCAACTCTGGTTTCTCTCTGTATAAAAGTTTCAGATTTTATTAATAATTTTACTGAAAAATTTTGGAATTAAATAATATTCCTTGGAGCAGGTATACTGTAACACACATACACATATGTGACATTGAAATATATTGGTGAAAATAGTCATGGTCTGCCCTCAAATTTTTACTCTCCTTGGTTTATGTGATAATCTTAAGTGTGTATTTGTTTGAAATTTACAAACGGTGGAAATGCTTATTAAAGACTCATTATATTAGCATGTGTTAAGGGGGTTTTCTTGTTTTCTGACTAACATTTCAGTATTTTTAATTATGATAAGTCATGTAACCCAGACTCATGAATTTTGGGGCAGTGGAAATTATTTCCTTTGACTCTTTTTTCTGCATATCATCAATTTGCTTTTTACTCATGTTTCTTCTACTGTCGCTGTAAGCTTACTTGTTGTTTTTTCTTTCCTTTTCTTCATGCTGTCGTTTAGAGCCCTACAGAGAGACAAGTATGGGAGTAAAGCTAAACATTGCATATCAAATGTAATTTTTTTTAGTTCACTTTTATTGCATCACATATAGATGATGTAGTTATTAAAAACAGTTCATCTCACAATTTAAAAACTAAAAAGCCTATAAATCGACTTATATAAATATATGTTAATAGAGATTAGACGCTTTTGTTGTCTGATTCTTTTATTCTGTCACATAATCAGCATAGTTGTTAAGTTTCATGTAATGTTTGTGTGAGTTAAATTGTTTTTAAATCAAGCATTTATTTTTGCTAAGTAATTCATAAACTTTTAATTTTTATTAGTACATTCCATCATAAAAATGTGTCACGTGCAACATATCCACTTTATTTTACAATGGCTGTTTACAGCCCGTACCTAATGCATTGACAAACAGAAATAATAAATGTGTGTTTCAATGCATCAGCCATTCAATCATAACCATCAAGCATACCATAACAGCTTCTGCAGCAGCTATCACCCATCACATACAGCCCTTTAAGAAGCATTTACTTTTATTTTTTCTTAACATTGTGGATTTGTCTACAAGATATAAAATGAAAATAAATTGCTTCACCCTATATCTGTGATGGCTGCTTATTAATACATTTGATGAATTGCTAATTTTGAAAATTGTATTACTGGAATACACAGTATGCCTCAGGAGTCCAAATAAAAATTGACATATTTGAAACACATCCTTTAAACCATTAATTAACTATTCAAGTTGTTATAAATAACTGCATCACAGATATAGAATGAATGCTATATTTTCACAAGTTAGCAATGTATTAAGAAGTTTAACAGAATTCTACAGTTAATTTTTCTGTAAATAAACACACTTTCTTATTTACCAGTATTGGTTAAATGTGTTTTTTCATTTTGTAGTTGCATTTGAAGTGATTTGTGAAACTATTATAAATACTCGGATTTCTGTTCATTCAAGGGAATGCAAAAACCTTGAAGAAATATGTGGTCAAATTTATTTCACTGCAGCTGTTTCCTACCTGAATAAAATGTTTATATTCTTTTAAATCCAAACTTTAACATGCACACAAATCCATCACTCATTATATAATGGTAACATTAATACTGACACAATGTTTTTAGGAATCAGATACCTGTGTCTTTACACATCTTTTCTAGTATTATCTAATGACCCTAAAAATATCACTTATGGGATAGTATATTGTAACAACCAAATTGCTTATAGCAGAAAAAAATTAGAAAGTAAATTTGAATACTTTTGTTTTGAAAATTCCTAGGTGTAAATTGTTTTTATGTGCCATTTATTTGACTAAACATTATTTCATGACCTCATCATTCTGACAAATTTAACATAATCCTTTTGTGGTTTTGTATGTAGGGATTGTTTTAAAACTTACAAAATTAAACATTAATTTATTAGACACTGCTTGTTGCTTTTACTTTTGACAAGTATATTAAAAGTACCACACATGAATTATGTTAATATTATACCTATTTTGATGTTAAGATAATATGTAAAATTAAAGGTAATGAATTATTTAATTGACTTTGATATGTATAAATTGAAAGCTATGAATGTCTATACCAAAATTTTATGTTATTTTTCCAAGTTATAAATAAGTATACTTCAAATAATATCAGGTAGTGTTTGTGTGGCAGTTGCAAATTGATAATCTATAGGTTTTTAAAAATTCTTTTAAAGATCTATTTTAAATATGATTTTCCCATTTATATGATTTCAATCACTGGTCTAATTATACACATTTATAGATTTAATAGTATTTTCTGTTTCCTTCCAAATATTCTATGCTTAAGTAAAAATGCTAACAATTTATACATATTTCATAGTTGTTGAATGTTTTTGCTTTTGTGTGTGTGTGTGTGTGTGTGTGTGTGTGTGTGTGTGTTCTTTGGCTTGTTGGATATCAATGTCATAGTATCTTGTAATCTTTTTCAGAGGGGCTTCTGAACAATGCCAGGGATACAAGTGTCATGGATACTCTACCACTGAATGGTAACCATGGCAATAGTTACAGCATTGCCAGCGGTGAATACCTGAGCAACTGTGTGCAAATCATAGACCGTGGCTATAACCATAACGAGACCGCCCTAGAGAAAAAGATTCTGAAGGAACTCACTTCCAACTACATCCCTTCTTACCTGAACAACCATGAGCGCTCCAGCGAACAGAACAGGAATCTGATGAACAAGCTGGTGAATAACCTTGGCAGTGGAAGGGAAGATGATGCCATTGTCCTGGATGATGCCACCTCGTTTAACCATGAGGAGAGTTTGGGCCTGGAACTCATTCATGAGGAATCTGATGCTCCTTTGCTGCCCCCAAGAGTATACTCCACTGAGAACCACCAGCCACACCATTATACCAGAAGGCGGATCCCCCAAGACCACAGTGAGAGTTTTTTCCCTTTGCTAACCAACGAGCACACAGAAGAGCTCCAGTCACCCCATAGAGACTCTCTCTATACCAGCATGCCGACACTGGCTGGTGCGGCCGCCACAGAGAGTGTTACCACCAGCACCCAGACCGAACCCCCACCGGCCAAATGTGGTGATGCCGAAGATGTTTACTACAAAAGCATGCCAAACCTAGGCTCCAGAAACCATGTCCATCAGCTGCACACTTACTACCAGCTAGGTCGTGGCAGCAGTGATGGATTTATAGTTCCTCCCAACAAAGATGGGACCCTACCCGAGGGAAGTTCAAAAGGACCTGCTCATTTGGTCACTAGTCTATAGAAGATGACACAGAATTTGAAACCAACAAAACTGCTAACACCTTGTTGACTATTCTGAGTTGATATAAGCAGTGGTAATAATGTGTGTACTCCTAAATCTTTATGCTGTCCTCAACAGACAAACACAAACTCTCAGACTTTTTTTTTTTTTTTTAATGGGATTTTTAGGTCAGCCCAGGGGAGAAAGATAACTGCTAAAATTCCCCTGTGTACCCCATCCTTTCTTGTCCTTTCCCCTTCAGATGGAGACTTCATTATGTTAATGAACAAGATATGAAGAAAATGGCACTCATTGCGGCCTTGTTGAATTATGTTGTGTATGGTTTAACATCTCTGATGCTCTGTTACTAAAATTACAAGGACCTGCTTTTTGAAAGGCCAGAACAGTTGTCTGAAATTAGTAACAATGCTGCATCTATATTGGAGTGACGCACAAATATAAAAGCAAAGCAAAACTGTATCACCTAGTGGTTTTGGTCACTCATAACCTGAATTCACCACAGCTGGAATAGCTGTGGAAAACAATAAAACAACAAAATTAATAATGAAATGGAGGGGAATTCTAGAATTATATGCTAAATGCATATTTTATGATTTGCTGTATTAACTGATGATAAAACTAATGGCAGAAAAAAGTTGAACAATTTCTATGTAATGTACAGATACTAGCATTGCACATATAGTCTGCTTTCTGTTCCTCCAGAATTTGAGTCCTGTTAATGTAGTAGGAAAAAAAAAAAAAAAATTCTTTTTCTTTTGTGCTGGTCTTGCAAGTTTGTCTACCAGTAAGAGAGCAAAGTTTCCTTCCTTTCTTCTCTTTCTTCCTTCATTTTCTTTTTCTTTCTTTTTTTCTATTTTGCCTTTTTTTTTTTCCTTTAAAATTTCACCTGGCAAAAAAATAAATAAATAAATGAAACTATCACTTTATAAGAATCATTTTCTAGTAATGCAAACAAATTATTTTTTACAAAAAAATAAATAAAATAAATAAGACTTCCTTCCCTCACTATATATCTTTATGCAGTCAGAATATTTCCAACAGTGTTTTTTTTTTTTTGCAAATTAGAGCAGGACAAACTCTTATGTTTACAGGGCACATTTGTTGTCATGCAAAGCGTATTTGGCAAGCAGTCCATCACCAGAACACTAGCTATGATTCTAGAAGTCAAGAGGTGTCTATAGAACTAGTGGGGCCTCTGCATGTGAAAATGGTTTTCCATAGGCATTAAATGCTGAATACTCAGTCTGATCCCCTAGTGGGCACCTGCACTACCAATTTTTAGAGGAAATTCACTCCCTTATAGTAAGAACTGAAAGGTCAAGTTATTTTGAAGTGATTTTAAAAAAAAATTCTTCTGTTTATTAACAGGAAAATTTATTTATTTGACAGGATTTTGAGTAACGTAGGAATACAAGAGGTAAATTAGCAGCACATAATTTTTTTTTAATTTATGATCCATTTTGTATGGTCTCAAAGTTGGATGACCTCATTACTAATATTTGTTGTAAAAGTGAAACTTGTTTGCCAACCAATAAACAACTGATTGAGATTTAGAAGATATTGTATTGATGTATGTACTATATGATTAGTCTTTTTATATTTCTCGCCTTTGTTTCCTTCTGTTTTCAATACATAATCTTTGCTAATCCTCTGTGGCCCAAATGAGCCATGCAGAAGAAATCAATCTGCCTAGATGAATAACCTAAGCACAAAATCATACAGGTTTGCAGACAAAGTAAACCAGAAAAAATGGGATGGGCATGTTTATTTTGGCTGAACTCGGATGCATAACTTAATTTTGAGAAGGTTAATATATATGTTAATATTTGCTTATCTATAAACCAGCTGCAGCCAGTATGCTTACTTTAAAAATCATATTCAATCAGAGATGTAAATATCAAATTTCAGGGCTGAATGAGTCACATTTTTTCCTCCTGTGTACATTCCATTTTGATGTTAGAAATTCAGATTCACTCAATTTTCTAAAAGCTGCAAAGTGAATACTCATTTATAAAGCTACAATAAGACTTTATTTGTGTTTTCTTTTTCTTATTATATGTATGAGGGAAACAGGAGAAGATAAAGCAAGTTCTTTCAAAGAAATTTTCTAGATCTCCAATTACAGTAGATTCTTTATAGCAGTTTTCAAGTATGGATCCCTTGTTAGGGCAAAGTTAAAAGGAATCTGCCAAATTATAATTTCTCCTGTAGTGTGTTTTATGTTGCTATATTTCCTTTTTCAAAAATCTAAACACTACCCATCTATAAATGACTATCTTAAATCAAGATGAGAAGAAGCAGTTTAGAGAATGGCCAATAATCTGTATATAGTTTATAAATACATGACAAAAAATAAATCTGCTAGGCCAGAGTGCATCATCAAAACCTTCCCATCACCTCAGAATATTTTATGTATCATTCCTTTTTAGTCAATTGGCATGAAATTTTTTTAAGTCTACAGATTCTACGTTGGAGGAGAATCACAAGCTTTCATGGTAATTAGGTTTTCTCACAACACACTATGGCAATATTAGCACCTCCAAGGCGTTTAACCCACCAGATACATAGAATACATTTGGCAATAAACGAGTCTTTTTTAGATGTGTTTAAGGTAACTTCGGAAACACAAATATAGTCTGTGGATTATGAGCACTTAGGCTTGTTTGTCAAACAGTAATCTACATGAAAGCAACTCAGTCAGTGAGAAGCTGGTTTCACAGAAAAATGGGGAAACTACCTCAATTCAGCTTGCTGATTTTCTGACATTGCTACCTCCCTGCCCATTATTTTTGTGTTTCTATATGGAAATTTGAAGTAGGTAGCCTCTCAAACTCTACATAGATCGAGTTGAAGAAAGATCACTTGAATACATACATGGTGCAGAAGAACATTCAGCACTACAGTTACAACCAAGCTCTTGTATCAAGATGAAAGGGTGAGATTTTTGAACTCTACACGTCATAAATGCTGTGTTTTCAGAAAGACTTAAGATCCCAAAGATTATAACAGGGAGAGATTTCCCCCACAAGTTTTATGTAACCATAATAAAAAAATAAAGTGGATAAAGGAGCTAATTTTACATACATTTCGATAGACATTTGCATATATCTAATGTATTCATTTTGACCTGTTTACACTAACAAAGGTTGAATTCCTGCACTTGAATCTTTTTCTTCTCATACATTTTCTTATAGAGCTATTGATGAATTAATTAATGATTTTTAAAATTTTTCTTTTTTCTACCACCTTTTGTGACTCGATTTTTTTAATATCCTGAGACATTTATGACCTACTTATCTATATTTTTTATGTGTTCATCTGACTTTCAGGTAAGAAGTAAATTTCCATCAAACAGATACACTATACAGCCATAATACAGCTTATTTAGCCAACTAGAAGTAAAACTTAATGCTTTTGAAACAAATGATCACTTTCTCATCAAATAATAGTTTTGCAACATTTTTAGAATAGGTTGTTTTTCCTCTTTGAAATATAGTTCACATGATACTTTATCAGGACACTAGTGGACCTAACGTTTAGTTAATTCTGAAATTGATGGATTGTTGCATAGCCTTTGTTCCTGATTGATAAATGTCCAAATTTTGTGAAGGAGAAATTGGTTGGAATTCCAATTAAATTTTATGGGGATCCCTTCTTGCTTCCACTATATTATAATTAAACACACTGAATTGGAATAATAAATTACTGTGCTAAAATAATCATAATAACAAAAATGAACTGACATGAGAACAATTATGTTAAAGTAACAATAATTAGGAAAATATGTTAATAAAAAGCAGGTAAGGGAAATATCCTTAACTTCCTGTAAAAAAAAATTCACAATAACTCGAAATTAAGATGTAGTTTATCATCTGTATAAAATCTCCATTATATCTTAAAAATGTTGACATATTAAGGAAATAATCTTTAAGATCTATATTTGAGATCTTTATTAATATTAATTGGTATGATGAAACATTTCATAATAGAGATAAGCATATAAGGGAATTAGTAAAATTTATAAAGAACCCACATATTTAATTTTAGGCATTATCTTCAGCTTTCCCTGGGCCCCCAACACATGTTGAAATGTTTTTGACTAGCTTGCTTACTTTAAGGAGTGACATTAAAAACTTTGACTGACTTTCTACAATACTGGAAAGACCAAAAGGGAGAGAAAAAATAATTTATAAGTTGTTTAAAGATCACCTCCAGACTAATCTATCATCTCCTAATAATGAAAAAAAATTAGTTGTTAGAAGTTGTCTATCACTACTGTACTGAAGTGTTACTGCTTGGATGGTTTTGTTGTTGTTAGAGATGGGGTCTTGCTCTGTCACAAAGACTAAAGGGCAATGGCCCAACCCCAGCTCACTGCAGCCTCATACTCTTGGGCTCAAGTGATCCTCCTGTCTCAGCCTTCTGAGTAGCCATGATTGCAGGCTTGAGCCACAGCACTTAGCCTGTAATGCTTTGAGGAGGGGGAAAAAAAAAAAAAACAACATTACAGAACTATAACGCATGTCAATTCAGATTTAGAGAGTGAAAAAACAAGAACCCAAAGTCTCATTATTCAAGTTTTGAGCAAATCTGAAGATATTGATATGAATATCCTTTCTTCTCTTAGAAAACTTTTGAGATAAAATAACAATATATATAAACTTCCCAGTATATTGCAAACCAAGGTGTTAAAATTTAATTAGTTTGTTTCTAATAATTCATAATTTTAACTTACCACATAAACAATTACTATGCATTTCTAAGTAATGCTTTCAATATAGCTTATTTTAGATTTCTGTACATCATTAAATTAGGAAGATAGAGGCACAAAAGCAGCAATGTTGCACAAAGGCTTATGGAAGCATTTTTGTGCAAATAGATTTTACGTAAGAAGCTTCTTGGAGCTCATAAAATATATTTGATGGATCCCAACATTAAATTTAATTTTGTAATCAGCAAATATGTTCTTTATAACATCTGAAAAATATTAAACAACTAAATTTTTATTTGTAGGCTAGCAGGATTTAAAAGTGTTGGTAGTTGCTTCTTTCCTGATTAGGCCATAAGAAGAAACTTTTCTATTTACTAATTAACACTGATTACTTTCTCTTTGGTCTAAAAGGGAAACTTGCACCTGTACACATACTCACACACTCTGATTCCATTTATTTACAGCCTGCAGAAGAAATAGCTTGTTTATGATATTTAAAACTTTGTGATTTCTGCAATAAAAGAGGCAGTTAATATAGTTTTGCATAATCTCATTGAAAGATATTGCTATTCCTTCTTTATTAAAAAAAAAAAAAAAATTAAAGTCAGCACTTCTTTCACATCTAGCACCTGTAAGTTACTATTCAAACTTCATTTCAGCTAAGATTTGTTTTGTTTTGTTTTGTTTTGTTTTGTTTGTTTTGAGAAACAGTCTCACTCTGTCGCCAGGCAGGAGTGCAGTGGCACGATCTTGGCTCACCAGAACCTCTGCCTCCCATGTTTAAGCAATTCTCCTGCCTCAGTCTCCTGAGTAGCTGGGATTATAGGCATGTGCCACCATGCCCAGCTAATTTTTGTATTTTTAATAGAGATGGGGTTTTGCCATGTTGGCCAGGATGGTATTAATCTCCTGACCTCATGATCTGCCTGCCTCATCCTCCCAAAGTGCTGGTATTACAGGTGTGAGCCACTGTGCCTAGCCTCCACCAAGTTTGATGTTTCTTTTTCTCTTAAAAGTATGTCAAGAGCATTGTTCTCATTTGATAATTTCTGTCTCAGAGCATTTCAAAGGGAAGTGCAAACTAATTTTTAAGAAGTCTTGAGAAAAAACTTTGATTTTTGTAAAGAAATCAAGAAAGACTATACGTGAACAATTCTCAATCAGGATAAATAATTGTCTTCAATAACAATATGAACAACAGAAGAGCAGAAACCAACAAAGTTAGCAAACTTATGGTGAAGTGACAGGACCTAAACTAGAGTTCTAGAGAAAAATTTTCCAGGAAATAATAATAAAGTCATTTGTAGTGATGAAAATCTTATATACTATATCAAATACTACTGGTGTATTCAAAAAAGTAAAATTTGAGTTTCTCATATTATGATTTCATTCTGCTAATTCCACAGGAAATATTAAGTACTTTAAACACCCCAGATATTTCTTATCTAACTATACCTTGTTTCAAGGAAACATCAATATTTTGTAATATTTCTTAAATGTAAGTATTTTGCCTCAATTCATCGTCACTCTGTAATCTGCTGACTCTCTTATACACCAACAGAGTTAATGCTTTTAGTAGCTTTGTACCTTTTAGAGCTCTATCATGAATCTTTCTAATAAATATAAAATTAATATTATATTAGAATTATGTACATTGTACAAAATAATTCACAGCCATGCAATATTCATACTATAGAATAATTTATTATTATATATATGAGTATTACATGGAGGCTGAACAAATAATTACTCTGCTCCGAATATTACTCTCAAGTTCTTTGTCTTTAATTACTATAGTCAACTCATAAAATTCTGCATACAGTGGTACATGGTGGGTTATCAAAATATTCCATAATCCAAATGCATTTAAAAGTATCCCCAATGCGCCTTTCATTCTAGAATATTAAAGGAAAGAGTTTGAAAGACAAGGAAAGTAAAACAGACTTCTAATTATCTAATTTAAAAGTTGCCATTCTGAATAATTTTTAAATGATGATGCTCTATTCTTTGATCTATAGGTGAGGTTACAAAAGATCTACAATTCTTCCAAAATCAGAGGATTTTAAATCTTAAAGGAGTTCAGTTTGTCTCCATAATCCAAGACTACAAAATTTTATGCTACATTGACAAGGAAACATATTTAAAACCCAGACCTAAAATACTTTTTTAAAGTTTAAAAATTCCTGTTTCTTCTGAATGTAAAACAGGCAAAATGATCCAGACTCCAAAATGAAATATATTGATTATTTTCAAAAGGTTTTGGATGGCTAAGTCAGTATCATCAATGTTTAACAGTAGGTAGAAGTCTTTGGGGTTGGAACTCAGGATAGAGTGACTAGGACAGAGTATACTCTTAGGCTAATCAGCACCTAGTCCTCTGGAGTATTTTTTAATGCCCTGAATTTCAAGTTGTCAAACTGGTTTACATATTGAATGACATTTTGAATCAATAAAAATGAGAAAAAAAAATTTAAATTTGGTTTTCATGTCTCATTTGAAAATAAACATTTTCTTTATCATCCTAAGTAGTAGAAGTTGATATGTCTTGAAAGAGCTATAGACAATCAGAATGTGTTGATTTATAAAGAATCACTTCTTTGTATATTTTAATGCTGATCTTTGACTGTGAACTAGAAAATCAAGATTTGTAGAGTCAGGTTGATTTACCTTCATTTGATTTCTGGGAATGCGTTGAAAGTGGATGGATAACTTGGAAGTTTTTCCATACTGTTTTCCTCCTTGTCAAGCATTAAATCTAATTCAAAATATATCTTTCTAAAAAACAATAGTTTATTTTTAACACTAACAACTAATTGTGCTATTCCTTGATGATAAGAACAGTCACTTTTTAGAAACAAGAATATAGCTCTTGTGGCTTTCGTCTCTTAGGATTCTCATATATTTACACATGGCATTATTTTCATATACACCTACCAGATTTCAAGCTATTGAATATTTCCCTTGTACAACCTTTACATCTTTTTTTTTCCTTAAATGCTCTGTACAATCACATGTAAAGTCATGAGCTACAAACCTCAATAAAAATTATCAGTAAACAAGAAGTGATGTAGTTACTATTATTATATGGTATTACCAAAACTTTGATTTTGGAATAGCATTTCAAATTTCAGGATAATAAATGAAACATGGACTCCTACTATATTTCCTATGTTCACTACCTCACACCTTGCCACCCTCTCCCTTATGCATTGAAAATATAATGTAAGACCTTTTTTTACCTTTGTTTTCAGAGAACTACCATCACCAGAGGTATCTATAAGGCTATTTGTCTTTCCAGAAAGATAGAAAGTTAAATTAAGAATTTACTGTTTGACCTTAAAATTTGCCATTAATGAGATGTGATCAAATTTGGTCTTATATCTACTATCTGATCTTATTTCTCCTCATCTCAAACTGGGGAGTAGGACAGTCAGTCATGAATGAACCTCTGGTCCAAATAACAGTTTAGACCTATGCATTGTGACAGGTCATTCTTCTTTTGAAGAAAAAGCACTATATATATATATATATATATATATATATATATATATATATATATGTAAATATTTTGGATCACAAAGATAGATGTCATATTATCATTATTCTGTAGTGTCAGGGATTCTGATTATTTAGCTTACTAACTTCATGGCAGTTGAATGAGCACAAATATCAGCTGGATAAATCAAATTCAGATGCCACTTTTTTATGATCTTTAAAATGTATTTCTGTAAGACATATTCTGCAAAGGAAATGGAAGAGAATCCTCAGCTCCTGAGTGCCTAGTATATGTCTGGCACTTTACAAAGCCTCATTTGATCTTCCTAATAATATGACAAAATGGAAAATATTACTGTGTACTACTTTTATGGAGGAAACTGAAATTCAGATCTCACAGTCACAGAGCTATTGTGTTTAGAACCAAAATATCTCAGTCTACATTCCATTTTACTTATTTATTAATCATTTTATACTGCATCAACTAAATGATTAGTTGAAAAGAAATGAACTAAACTCTTTTCATTTAAATAACAGGAGGAAACAGACATTCAAGGGAATGTTGCAATAATATGGAACTCAAAATCTATGTGAATCCATTTTATAAGGTATTTAATATATCTATAAATATGTACATATAAAGAGAGAGATAGAAAGACAGATCAATATATCTATTTCTACTTCTCTATCTATTGAGAAAGAATAGAGGCTTGATTTTTGAATCTGGTTCTACACTTATTCTATAAGTTTCAACGAATTAAATTTTATAAGAATTGGGTTTCTCATCTCCAAATATCTAAATATGCATATATATAATGTCCTAGGCACACATGAAATTCTGACCCAGAAAATTATTAAACAGATTCTGGATTAATACTAAGTAAACTCTGTTGGTGTCTTGTTGATTCTATTAGTCCTCTCACCTCCAATAATGGTTAGATAATAGTAATCTGTTTCATCACTAAAATTCTAGTTAACGTTCCACTTTAATATGTATGACTGGCTCATTTGTTATGGCATGTATAATAATTAGAAGTTTGTGTACAGAATTTTTCAAAATTTAATCTTTACACAAGTTTTAACAACTGCATTTTCAATGTGATAATATATCATGTTGTGGTCTGTATTCAGCAGTTTTCACTAGTAAAAAGAGATGGCATTGCACTACAACCCGGGCAACAAAAGCTAAACTCTGTCTCAAAAAAAAAAAAAAAAAAAAAAAAGATGATTCTAAAATTTAAATATATTTGGGAGGTGTGAAACACAACACAGATTTTTAAACCATAGGATTTCAGAGACTGCACTGCAAAACTCCAAGAGGAGTATATATTGTGCTGTTTTCTAAAATTATTTGGACCTGAAATCCTCAAGGAACATGAAGAGCAATACATTGCAAACCTATTAATCCATGGAACACAGTTGTGAAACATGCCTCAAAATATATTTGTTACCGCTGAGTTTTTTCTGAATATTTTATGTTAATGAAATGCTAGAGGTGTGACTCTCAAATACAGGTATTAATTGGCTTTATAAGTCATGATAAAATAGTATTTTAAAAGTATCCCCACTAATTTTTTGCTTCTAACCTTTAGGTAGAAAAAGAAAAATGGAGACGAATACTGCCCTAAGAATTCTTCCCTAACCATAGAATCTCTATATTTTACTATAGCTTCCTATCTTCTAATATCAAATCACTATCTGGCTGCAGCAACTGGAGAGAAAAGGAGACTCTACTCTATACCTGTAAATGAATGAAATAGAGATCTTGTTAAAATGCAGATTTTAATTTTTGACAGTCTTTGGGGATGAGGTGGTCTGAAGTTGTGCATTTCACACAAGTGCTCAGTGACGTCTCTGAGGCTGTTCTAGCTAGCATCAGGGCATTTGGGCTATGTCCTCCATATGCCTTGTGATCAAGTTTATTATTCCCTTTAAGTGTTTATTTTTTAGGTACTAGGGAATATATTACAGGAAAGGAGAAAAACATGTCTAGATGTTGCTTAATTTTATCAAAAGAGAAATATGTTGTGATTTTTGGAAATAAATACAGAGTATTCTCAAAGATGGTAATAGTTACAATGATATTGAAGTTAAAGCCATGGCTCTTTTAGTCCAGCACATTAGGTAAAATATTTCATGGGAAAAGGATGCACACTCACACACACACGTGTGTGTGTGTGTGTGTGTATTTATATGTGTGTCTGTGTGTCTCATGTATTTATGTGTATGTCTATGTGTAACTGCATATATATAGTTGCATATATATATGTAAAATATACACATATACCTGAAATAATTGCTTATCATGAAAAAAGATCTTTACTAAATGTTATTTTCCTCATAAACACTTATCAAAGACATGCTGGAAATAGCTATTAGAGATAACTGGTTTTTTTAAATCATGTTGAAACATCAATCTGACTATCACAATTGGAGATACTTGCTGGTCTTCTATGTGTTTAAAGTGGAGAATAATCACATAGGTAGGTATGTAAAAAAGTGAAAATTAAAGAATGTCCAGGAAGTAATATTATTTTGAATTTTATAAATAAATTTTGTAAAATACCAATTATAATTTTTTGTTTCATTGTAATACTAAAAAGTTTATTGCTAGCAAATAATCTTCTTTGATTAAAATATCTCATACAATAAAAGTGAACTTGTTTTATCTACTTACCTCTGAGATACTTTATTCAGTATTTACTACCATTAATGGCAGTAGAAAATATAAATGTTTTATCCAAAAGTTTCAAGGATGTTAACTGCTTTGAAGATTTTATGTATAAATTAAAATAAAATATCTTGTCCAGATTGGTGATTATTTGTTAAGTGTATTAATATCAAAACACATCATTGTATTAAACAAAAATGTCTAATTATGAATTAGATAATCCTTATAATGAGCATGGTCTTTCAGATAATCACAATTGTTTGAAAGCAAGACTCATACTGAATTTCCCAAATATTAATTAGCTTTATGTTTCCAATTAGAAAAAGAAACTTCACTAAAATATTTTATTTTGATTTTGATATTTATGCTTTGCTTACCATACAATTTAAATAATTTGTATCTGGCATTTAGTATACAGCCTTAATTCCACCAACCAAGTACATATTCCAAAAATTAACAATTAATTTTAAATGCTGGGAAAAAAGATAGGTGTACTCAGATATAATCATTTTATTTTACCCTTTATAATTATTAAAGCTGGTTATTTCTCACATTCTTAGAAAGTATTTAGCACACTGTTAATTCAATCATTCCATTGTAACTGATGAAATTGGAATTCCATTAATTTCCGTTAATGCACAATAACACAGTAAGAAGAAATAGACAAACTGGAAAAATGCATAAAAACTTTTCTTATAATTTCAACTTTTATTTTAGATTCAGAAGAGTACATTTGCAGGCTTGTTACATAGGTGCACTGTGTGAACCTGAGGTTTAGGGTTTAAGAGTGGTCCCATCTCCCATGTAATGAGCAGAGTACCCAATAGGTAGTTTTTCAGCCCTAGCTTAGTCTTTAGTTTAAATTTTCACTTAACAATTTCCATAATTTGTTAGCTTTTTTCTCTATAATCTAAAATTATTTAATTAATAGAATTTTTTTGCAGTTGTAACCTATGTGAATGTACATTGACTAAAAGATTAAACATAATTAATGGCATTATTTGATTTTGAAAATTGGAATATCCAAGAAGACATAGTCAAGACTTATTATTGACCCTATGACAAACACAATAATTCAGTGTTACATTTTAGTCACTTATTTTGAAAAGACCTTGATTAAACTTACCTTGCTATTTTCAAATATTGTGAAGATCAATAGAGTAGTTAATTTTTTACTCCCCAGCTTTCTGTGCATTAGAATCACTAGAGCACATTAAAAAGAAAAAGAAATCCAGACCTCACACCACACTAATTAAATTAAAATCTCTGGGAGTGGTTCCCAGATTTAAGTCAATTCTAAAAGCCTACCAATGATTCAAGGTACAGTTTGGTCTAAGAATCACAGAGTTAATTGCTTAATAAATGTTGGGTATTTCCATCAGTCATGTTTAAATATTTTTAAAATATATTATTTATTTATTTATTTATCTGAGACAGTGTTTCACTCTTATTGCCCAGGCTGGAGTGCAATGGTGCGATACTGGCTCACTGCAACCTCCATCCTCTTAAAATATTTAAAAACAACATTTTAAAAATATTTCTTACTTTTTTAAAGCAAGAAAGGAAGATGAATAAGGAAGCTCAAAATAAAAAAAATGTCTGTTGCCAGATGAATGCATCTACTTACATAAATATGGTTTACCTCCCAATTTATAAAGATGGATAATATATTATTCAAATACTATTTTAAAAAAATAACATAGGAAAATGTGCTGATCAGGAAACTCTGATCAATAATTTGCTCCACCATGAATGAGGCATGGTCTTGAATACTCAGATGTCACCTGTAGTTCTCAGTTTACCATCTGTAAGGGAATTGGACTAAATGGGTTCAAGAGTTGTTTCAGGTCTTCAGTTCTGTGAATTTACATTAGGCACAGAAAAGACAAATAG